CAAGATGATGGAGAAGATCGTGAGAAAAAAACTGGTAACACATCTGGAGAGAAGGGACTTCGTGACAAATCGCCAACATGGGTTCAGAGAGGGTAAATCTTGCCTTACAGGCTTGATAGAATTCTACGATCAGGTGACAAAGATTAAGCAAGAAAGAGAGGGCTGGGCGGACTGCATTTTCTTGGATTGTCGGAAAGCCTTTGACACAGTACCGCATAAGAGGCTGGTACATAAGCTGGAGAGACAGGCAGGTGTAGCTGGTAAGGTGCTCCAGTGGATAAGGGAGTATCTAAGCAATAGGAAGCAGAGAGTTACGGTGAGGGGTGAGACCTCCGATTGGCGTGAAGTCACCAGTGGAGTCCCACAGGGCTCTGTACTCGGTCCTATCTTGTTTCTGATATATGTAAATGATCTCCCGGAGGGTATCGATTCATTTCTCTCGATGTTTGCGGACGATGCTAAAATTATGAGAAGGATGAAAACAGAAGAGAACTGTTTGAGGCTTCAAGAAGACCTAGACAAGCTGAAGGAATGGTCGAACAAATGGTTGTTAGAGTTTAACCCAACCAAATGTAATGTAATGAAGATAGGTGTAGGGAGCAGGAGGCCAGATGCAAGGTATCATCTGGGAGAGGAAATTCTTCAGGAGTCAGAGAAGGAAAAAGACTTGGGGGTTGATATCACGCCAGACCTGTCTCCTGCAGCACATATCAAGAGGATAACATCAGCGGCATATGCCAGGCTGGCCAACATACGAACGGCATTCAGAAACTTGTGTAAAGAATCATTCAGAACTTTGTATACCACATATGTCAGGCCAATCCTGGAGTATGCAGCCCCAGCATGGAGTCCATATCTAGTCAAGGATAAGACTAAACTGGAAAATGTTCAAAGGTTTGCCACCAGACTAGTACCCGAGCTGAGAGGTATGAGCTACGAGGAGAGACTACGGGAATTAAACCTCACTTCGCTGGAAGACATAAGAGTTAGAGGGGATATGATCACCACATTCAAGATTCTGAAGGGAATTGATAGGATAGATAAAGACAGTCTATTTAACACAAGGGGAATACGCACAAGGGGACACAGGTGGAAACTGAGTGCCCAAATGAGCCACAGAGATATTAGAAAGAACTTTTTTAGTGTCAGAGTGGTTGACAAATGGAATGCATTAGGGGGTGATGTGGTGGAGGCTGACTCCATACACAGTTTCAAGTGTAGATATGATAGAGCCCAATAGGCTCAGGAACCTGTACACCTGTTGATTGACAGTTGAGAGGCGGGACTAAAGAGCCAGAGCTCAACCCCCGCAAACACAACTAGGTGAGTACAACTAGGTGAGTACACACACACACACACACACACACACACAGTCCATGGACTCCAGCTGACAGAGTTTCATATTAAACATTTATTTTGAGAATACTTTCTCTCCAGGTTTAAAATATGAAGACACACAATAGGACATCATTTGTCAGAGGAGACCGGGCCGCCCACAGGTGTCCCAAGAGCAGGACCCGGATATAATGGCTCAGGCAAGGCATTATGTGGAAAGAATATGGCTCAAGGGAGAAAATACGATATTCAAAGACAAATATCAAATTCACACAGAGAAAGGAATGAGGAGTTTTCTCGAAAAATATGATGGTAAAAAATATAAAATCCGAGGAAAATGAATATGAGACTTTTAAAGTCCAATAGACTTAGCTATACGGGGACTTAATTACGTCTCAGAACAACATTATTGAAATGGGATTTGTGTCAAGATACACAACGCGAAACAAGCACTAACAGTATACCTAATGGTTCAAATATATATTAGCTGCAAGTTTAATGTTAGCACAAGCTGAGATGCCGGAGAACAGAATAGCATTCCGTGATGCTTCCATACCCGTAACATGTGACGTTTTGGCTGTAATAAAGTCGAGTATGTCAGCGCCTTCTCCTGAAATACATCAACATACAACAAGAGTATACACCGAGAGATATTAAATTTCTTTGCTGTATATACACTGAGAGAGATATTCCATTCTTCGGTGTATACATATATATATATATATATATATATATATATATATATATATATATATATATATATATTATATATATATATATATATATATATATATATATATATATATATACACGGAGTTTGTATTAGTCCTGGATTGTATTCAGGACGAATGTATACTGGGCGGTTGATGAGCAAGTTGTTGTGGTGGCCTTAATAACCCTCCCTGGGATGATAGATTTACAACACAACAACAACCCTAAATTCCATTCACCTGGGCTCTAGGAGACTCGAACCCTGGACCCGTCTCCTGCGAGTACGTCCCCTGCGAGTTCGTCTCCAGTGAGTACGTCTCCAGTGAGTACGTCTCCAGTGAGTACGTCTCCAGTGAGTACGTCTCCAGTGAGTACGTCTCCTGCGAGTACGTCTCCTGGGAGTTCGTCTCCTATGAATACGTCTCCTGCGAGTACGTCTCCTGGGAGTACGACTCCTGCGAGTACGTCTCCTGGGAGTACGTCTCCTGTGAGTACGTCTCCTGGGAGTACGTCTCCTGTACGTCTCCTGTGAGTACGTCTCCTATGAGTACGTCTCCTGAGAGTACGTCTCCTGCGAGTACGTCTCCTGTGCGTATGTCTCTTGCGAGTACATCTCCTGTTATCTTGAGGTTATCTTGAGATGATTTCGGAGCTTTAGTGTCCCTGCGGCCCGGTCCTCGACCAGGCCTCCACCCCCAGGAAGCAGCCCGTGACAGCTGACTAACACCCAGGTACCTATTTTACTGCTAGGTAACAGGGGCATAGGGTGAAAGAAACTCTGCCCATTGTTTCTCGCCGGCGCCTGGGATCGAACCCAGGACCACAGGATCACAAGTCCAGCGTGCTGTCCGTTCGGCCGACCGGCTCCCTGTGAGTACATCTGTGAGAACATCTCCTGTGAGTATGTCTCCTGCGAGTATGTCTCCTGTGAGTACGTCTCCTGTGAGTACGTCTCCTACGAGTACGTCTCCTGCGAGTACATCTCTGGCGAGTATATCTCCTACGAGTATGTCTCCTGCGAGTACGTCTCCTACAAGTACGTCTCCTACGACTACATCTCCTGTGAGTACATCTCACAGGAACATGCTACCTGCATAGCATGTTACAGTTCCAGTAATAGTCTCCTTGTAAACTGGTAAGTGAACCTTTGGCTTACACAAAGAATATTCGTTAGTTATAACTTTATAGTATTATAAACCGTTGGGGTAAAATTTAAAAAAAAATTAAAAAATTTGCTTAATTCGTTTTCTTTCAGTTTAAAGAATATGATTTTCTGTAAATAAAATTCTAGAGGACACTCAAATAATTTTGTATTTCGTATTTCACATGTTCGAGATTGGTTGTGTTACAACTAATCCCTTGCCACATGTGGAACACTTGCCACCTGTACTCACCTCTTTGTGCTTGCAGGATCGAGCATTGACTCTTGGATCCCGCCTTTCCAGCTATCGGTTGTTTACAGCAATGACTCCTTTCCCATTTCCCTATCATACCTAGTTTTAAAAGTATGTATAGTATTTGCTTCCACAACCTGCTCCCCAAGTGCATTCCATTTTTACACTACTCTCACGCTAAAAGAAAACTTCTTAACATCTCTGTGACTCATCTGAGTTTCCAGTTTCCACCCATGTCCCCTCGTTCTGTTATTATTACGTGTGAACATTTCATCTATTTCCACTTTGTCAATTCCCCTGAGTATTTTATATGTCCCTATCATATCTCCTCTCTCCCTTCTTTTCTCTAGTGTCGTAAGGTTCAGTTCCTGCAGACGCTCTTCATATCCCATCCCTCGCAACTCTGGGACAAGCCTCGTCGCAAACCTCTGAACCTTCTCCAGTTTCTTTATGTGTTTCTTCAGGTGGGGGCTCCATGATGGCGCGGCATACTCTAAGACGGGTCTCACGTAGGCAGTGTAAAGTGCCCTAAAAGTCTCCTCATTTAGGTTTCTGAATGAAGTTCTAATTTTCGCCAGTGTAGAGTACGCTGCTGTCGTTATCCTATTTATATGTGCCTCAGGAGTTAGATTAGGTGTCACATCCACTCCCAGGTCTCTTTCTCGAATCGTTACAGGTAGGCTGTTCCCCTTCATTGTGTACTGTCCCTTTGGTTTCCTATCACCTGATTCCATTTCCATAACTTTACATTTACTGGTGTTAAACTCCAGCAGCCATTTCCCTGACCATCTCTGCAACCTGTTTAAGTCCTCTTGGAGGATCCTACAATCCTCGTCTGTCATAACTCTTCTCATTAATTTTGCATCATCAGCAAACATTGACATGTATGATTCCACTCCTGTAAACATATCATTTACGTAAATTAGAAAGACGATTGGTCCCAGCACCGATCCTTGAGGTACTCCACTTGTTACTGTTCGCCAGTCCGACTTCTCGCCCCTTACCATTACCCTCTGGCTCCTTCCTGTTAGGTAGTTCTTCACCCATACTAGGGCCTTTCCGCTTACTCCTGCCTGCCTCTCAAGTTTGTATAGCAGTCTCATGTGCGGTATTGTATCAAAGGCCTTTTGGCAGTCAAGAAATATGCAGTCTGCCCAGCCTTCTCTGTCCTGCCTTATCCTTGTTACTTTATCATAGAATTCTAAAAGGATTTGGGCAATGAGGTAAAGGAGAAGCATTGCCAGACATGTGGCTTTATTGAACAAATAATTACAGTACAGTTACATCCTGCAATAAACACAAGTCATATAATATACATTACTTATAAAGACTAACAGTGCTTAAGATATATAATATAATAAGCAAACTACACATGACTAACGCTAGAACAAATAGAAATTAAACTAGGAGTGAACATAAACTAACCTGTACACAGGCACGACACAGCTGATCTGACAACAACAAAACAGTCAAGCGAGCATCCAAACGAAACAGTCAAGCGAGCATCCATCCGGGTACAATAATATAATAACACTTTTACTACATTCACCCCATCTAGCTTTAAGTAACATAGTCCCGAAGATGAATAGGGGTACTGCGCGTCCTTCCAGATCGTCGAAGGGACTCCTGCAAAGTTGAAGCCTCTAGTGTCCCAGTCGGTTCCTGCATACCACCTTCTCGAGGGAGTGTTACGTCAGAGAAAGGTTTCCAGTTAGGTGTTTCTAGGTTAGGTGGTTCAGAACGAAGTAGTTCAGGATGAGGTAGTTCCAGATGAGGTAGTTCAGGATGAGGCGGATTGGGGTTTACCCCAGCTTTCACAATCGCTGGGTGTTGCTGTTGAATGTTGAGATTGGGGTCCAAACTCTCGCAGCCCTCTGTGGCCATGGGTGCGAGGTGTCTTAATGATACAGTAGTAATCCTGCCATCCGGGAACTTGACATGGGCATATTCCGGATTCACGTCTACGACCTCAACCTCATCAACTAGAGGATCATTTTTGCTTTGCCGCACCTGACGTTTCAGGAGGACAGGGCCTCTGCAAGCAAGCCACGTAGGTAGTGCTCGCCCTGAAGTTGATCTTCTTGTATGCTGGAAGAATCGTTCATGTGGTGTACAATTTGTAGAGGTACACAACAGTGATCGAATAGAGTGGAGTGCATCAGGAAGAACAACTTCCCATTGGGATACATCTAAGCCTCTCGTCCTAAGAGCTAGCAGCACTGTCTTCCAAATAATCCCATTGTACTTCTCAGCCTGGCCATTTCCTCTAGGGTTGTAAGGAGTCGTACGGCTAGTTGCTACCCCTTTTTTTAGTAGAAAATCTTTCAACTCCTCAGACATAAACGAAGTTCCCCTATCAGAGTGTATATATGCAGGCATACCAAAGATTGCAAACAACTGCACCAGGCACTGAATTACTGTACCAGTAGTCATATCTGAACAAGGGAATGCAAAAGGGAATCTAGAGAATTCATCTACAACAGTAAGGATATATTTATTCCTTGAATGTGATGGAAGTGGTCCTTTAAAATCTATGTTGAGTCTTTCAAATGGCTGAGTAGCTTTAATCAAATGCCCAGAATCAAACTTGCAAAACCGAGGTTTAAGTTCAGAGCATGCAGAGCAAGAATTAGTCATCTTCTTCACTTCTTCCACAGAATAAGGCAGATTTCGACATCGGACAAAATGAGCCATACGAGACACTCCAGGGTGACACAGATTGTCATGCAATTCCTTTAATTCATCCACACTGGTGGCACCACATACACGTGAGAATGCATCAGCTGGTATGTTCTTTTTACCTGGGCGATATACAATGTCATAGTGGTAACAGGAGAGTTCGACTCGCCATCTAGCAATTTTATCATTTTTAATCTTACCAGCTGATTTAGAGTTAAACATAAAAGCAACACTGCGCTGGTCAGTCACAAGCCGAAAATGGCGTCCAATGAGATAGTGTCGCCACTTCCTTAGGGCTTCCACAATGGCATACGCTTCCTTCTCCACTGATGAGTGCCTTTGTTCACTATTTGAAAGTGTTCGGGAGAAGAAAGCTACTGGTTGTTCATTCTGGGTTAGGGTAGCGGCAATAGCATGATCTGAAGCATCGGTTTCCACAGCGAAAGGAGCTGTTGGGTCGATTGCTCGAACCACTGCCTCAGCAATGTCTTGTTTCAATCCTTCAAAAGCTTTCGCAGCGGCAGCAGATAAGGGAAAATCATTGGCATGAGAGAGAGGACGGATCTTCTCAGAAAAACTCAGCACCCAACGGGAGTAATGTGCAAGCATTCCCATTGTTCTGCGTAAAGAACCTGTGTTACTTGGTAGTGGAAGTTTTAACAGTGGCTCGAGGCGTTCCGGGTCTGGTCTAATTTCTCCTTCTTGTATAAGATATCCCAACAGCTTTATAGACCTGAGTCGAAAACTACACTTTTCAAGATTCAGGGTCAGGTTATACCTTCTCGCAACGTCCATAAAATGTTTCAGATTTTTATCATGGTCTTCCTCAGAATCTCCACACACACAGACATCATCTATGTAAGCGAAGGTACCCTCCACTCCTTCTTTCTCAAGGATGCCATCAATTACCCTTTGAAAACTAGCCACTCCATTAGTGACCCCAAAAGGGATACGATTAAATTCAAAAAGCTTCCCACAAGCTTCAAAGGCTGTATAGGGTTTTTCTTCCTCTGTTAAACCCACTTGATGGTAAGCACTTCTCAAGTCTAGCATGCTGTATACTTTAAATCTAGCAACATTATTCACAATCTCATCTATATGTGGTAAGGGGTAGGCATCCAGCCCCGTGAATCGATTGATTGTTTGTGAATAATCTACAACCATTCTTTTCTTGTGATGTTCTCCTTTAGTTACTAATACCTGGGCTCTCCATGGAGAATGACTGGGTCTAATTATCTCTTCACGTAGCATCCGAGCGGTCTCAGATTCAATAAACAACTTGTCAGCCTCAGAATAGCGTCTGGATTTTACAGCAATCGGCTTGCAGTCTGGTGCTAAATTACTGAAGAGAGATGGAGCCGGAACTTTGACGGCAGCTAATCCACATATTCTAAGGGGAGGTCTATCTCCTCCAAAAGCCATCTCGAGCACAGAATGATTTTGTAAAAAGTTATGACCTAAAATCACATCAGCACACAAATCGGGTAACACTTTGAGATTCACACCATGGTAAGTTTCTCCTTGCAATTCTAAGTCTACAGAACACTGACCCAGGAATTTTGAAGAGAACGATACAGTAGCCATAGAAACTGCCCCATTGTCAGGATAGACGAGTAACCCACTCTGCTCGGCAATATTCTTATGAATAAAGTTCTCAGAGCTACCAGTGTCAATCAGTGCACTAACTGGAATACCATTGATCTTAGAACTAAGCACTGATTTATTGAGGCATGAGGGCGAAGTCCCAGCTAAAGTAGCGAGCATAGCAGCGGAATGTTGGGTGTTTGAAGCGCTGTTAGTCTGTTTCAGAGATCGGCAGACCTTAGCATAATGACCCTTTTTCTTGCAATTCATACACAGAGCCTCTCTAGCTGGACATCGACTGCGAGGATGTCGAGTGTGACCACAAAAGAAGCACTTTAAACCACTAGTTGTAGCTGCAGAAACTGTGTCAACCTTTTCTTCTACACTTTCTTGTCCTCCTGAGTCCTCCAGGTCTAATGAGAGTGCCATGGCAGCATTTGTAGCCCCTGGCTGAGCATAAGAGGCAGAAAGTTTCTGTGCCGTTTCTAGAGTGCGAGCCTGGTCAAAGGCTGACTGTAAGTCTAAAGTTTTATTTTCAAGTAAGCGCTGCCTTATTGTGGCAGAACCTAGCCCATTAATGAAAGCATCTCTCACATAGTTATCACAGGCTTCTACAGCAGTCACTGCTTTGAACTGGCAATCTTTAGCTAATAACTTTAAAGCCTGAAGAAACTGATCAAGCGACTCACCGGGTTCTTGGCGTCGTGTTGCAAGCACATACCTTGCGAATACTTCATTCTTGGGCTTCACAAACAGTTCTGTTAGGGATTTTTCAGCAGCATCATACGTAGTGCAGTCAGCTATGTAGTCGAACACACGTGGAGCAACGTAGTTTATTAAGAGACGCAGCTTGTCCACGGTGGGAGTATTTTCTTCTACTGCTAGAGTGAAGTTTTGGAACGTCTTGAGCCAGTGACGCCATTCCTGAGCGGCGTTGGTGGCGTTTGGGTCAGTAGCAAACCGCTCGGGCCGTAGTAACCGCTCCATGTTCACTGGCTGAATTATTTGTTCAATAAATTGAGGTAAAGGAGAAGCATTGCCAGACATGTGGCTTTATTGAACAAATAATTACAGTACAGTTACATCCTGCAATAAACACAAGCCATATAATATACATTACTTATAAAGACTAACAGTGCTTAAAATATATAATATAATAAGCAAACTACACATGACTAACGCTAGAACAAATAGAAATTAAACTAGGAGTGAACATAAACTAACCTGTACACAGGCACGACACAGCTGATCTGATAACAACAAAACAGTCAAGCGAGCATCCATCCGGGTACAATAATATAATAACACTTTTACTACAAGCCCTCCTGCTTCTCACCTTTGCTTCCTGACACTGTCTATTAAACCATGGGTTATTATATTCCCTCCTGCTTTTTTCCTTTATTGTTGGATAGTCTATTGTTTACTCTATAGACTATTGTTTACTCTTCAGCCTCCTTGCATTTCAATATGACTTGGTTCATCATACCTTGCACTGTTTTTCTCTAAGTTCTTCCTTCCACTGCACTTCTCCCAGGTAGTCCCTTATCCTTCTGTAGTCCCCTTTTCTGTAATCAAGTCTCCTTTCCCGGACCTCTTGTCCTTTGGTCACAATTTTAAGCTCCATCATGTAGTCAAAGACTAGGACACAATGGTCACTGGCTCCTAGTGGTATTCCGTGTTCCAACTGCTCGATGTCTTCTACATTCTGGGTGAAAGTGAGATCTAATAGGCTGGGCGTATCCTCTCCTCTTTCCCTAGTATCTTCCTTCACATGCTGTGTTAGGATATTCCTGTCAATAACGTCTACCAGCTTCGCTCCCCAGGTCTCCTCCCAGCCATGGGGATTCCTCGTTTCCCAATCTATCTCTCCGTGATTTAGGTCCCCCATGACCAGCAGCTTCGCTCTCATTCTATGCGCTATAGTTGCTGCCCTCTGCAGTTCATCTATACATGTCTTGTTGCTGTCCTCGTACTCCTGCCTGGGCCTTCTACTGTTTGGTGGGGGATTGTAGAGTATCAAGATTACAATCTTCTTCCCATCCACTGTCAGAGTTCCATGTATGAAGCTCGTACTTTCATTGGTACCCAGATTTTCCAGCTCATCAAACTTCCATTTCCGCTTTATTAGGAGTGCCACTCCTCCTCCCTGTCTCTGTGTCCTTTCTTTTCTAATCACCTGGTACCCCTCTGGAAAGATTGCATCTGAGATCATGCCATTTATTTTAGTTTCCACTATTGCCACTATGTCTGGGTCTGCCTCACTAACTCTTTCTTTTATCTCTTCTGCTTTATTGGCTACCCCATCAGCATTGGTGTACCAAACCTTGAGACTCTTCTTGGAAACTCGGGTGTCAGAGTTCCCCCTTTCACCGGGGGTCTGGGGGGTGAAAAGGGCATAATGGGTCTGAAAGTTAGGGGTCTGAATAGCATGTGTAATGTATGTGTATGTATGTGTATGCAATGTATGTTACACAAATATGTGTAACACATATTTAACATACTTGTCACATATTTAATACAGCCCAAACGTCTTGACACATGAGGCAAGAACTACAAAGGTTAACTTGCCAGCTGAAGACAAGAGGGCGGGAACTAGGTAAAGACCACCAGGAATCTATAACAATACCTCACATCCCTGGCAGTTTAGCACTTCTGGAAAACACTCACACCCATCACCGGAGAAAAGACATTCAAGCAGCTTCATAATCCTACATTCTCTCACAAGGAATATTTTATGAATACCTGAATCAATAGGAGTAACGCAGACCCTGGTTCAACTCCCGTTCATGATTCACAGTCAGGACACCCGAGTTTGGACTCCAGTGTTATGGAAATGGTTTTTTTTCCTATCACCTAGTACCTCTGTTCACCTAGCAGTAAATAGGTATACCCAGTAGTTTGGCAACTTGTTACGGCCACAATGGGATGCAACCGGGTTCTTTTCAAGTGGTACGAAAGTTCATATATCCGGCCCCAAGTTAGTAGAGGCTTTCAAGAGACGAGCTCAGTAATGCAAGTAAAATAAAAAGGGAAGGTACATTAAATACACAAGTTCATCACTTTAACCATATATAATTATTCTTCCCATCACCATATATATATATAAAAGTCTTAAACGGAAAATATTACTGCACTATGTACATCATCGTCTCTCTCAGAAGACACTGAACACTCGGCGAAGCTCACTCCGTGCAGTCTTGTACCAGGTTTCCTTATCCGTGGCACTACCCTTAGCAGGTACCAGGAAACAACGATGAGTCTACCCTGGCCACGGGCCAGCCAAATCACAATTCCACTAGGTGCCTCGTCGTGAAGGCCCACAACCACAGTCCAGCCTGTTGCTGGCAGGTACCAATCAGCCTCACGCTGGTGTGGGAACCGACCTGTGAGATTTATATATATTTAATTTATATGAATTTATATAGAATTTATATTTACCTTAATTTATATATTTCGATAGCAATTTGTATGATGTTAAGTGGACTGTATTTCTGCAATAATCTCACAAATCGATCCTTACACATTAGGGGGGTTTATATTAAATTTATATATATGCAGCCAATCAAACTACAGTATTAACTACATATATTAGTATACATTGGAGGTGAATTATCTTATTGTACAGCAGGCTTAGTCCACCAGGTATAACTAGGATGTAGACACCAAATTATCCTCGTTTGAGGCTAGCTTCCATCACCCAGTAACTGATATACCAAGTCTTGCTTCCTCTTCTTGTTCCTGTCAAAGGGCGCTAGCTGTAAAGCCAGAATCCTAATATATGACAGCTATATCAGAGAAAACACTGTATAATAGATAAGATAAGGACCAAGGCTTAATTACCTTTATTGAGTCGATTATTTGTGTTCTCACCGGTTCGCCCAATATCTACCTAACATTAATGGCCAAAAATGATTAGATAAACGGGTTTTGGAAAGACACTTCCCTTGTGTTATGTTGACAGCGTGTTGATGATGGCAGAACACTACTTGATCTCCATAACACTTCGTCCAAGAGAAATTATAGGAGCTGAACTCGCTCCAACGACTCTCTGGTCTTAACAACAATGGCTGACCACTTCCTCCTCACTGACGCCTGGCCTACTTTGTCCAGATATCAGTAACTGATAGAAGGGTCACATTTACTTTATTTTAATACTGATAATTAAGTTAATTCATATGAGATGTTTTTATGATGTAAAAGTCCAAAGACTAATGTATTTAAGAATAATTCCCAACACAATAGCTGGTGAATTTATAATAGTATGTGGCAATGATATCCCGTTTTCTATTGACGGAAAATTCCACTACAAGCTACATTTTCTATGGGTAACTTGTGTATACAACAGCAGCAATATTATCTGCCTGTTGTATGTAATATTATTAAATGGTGTCGGGTTTTCCGACATAATTCCCCGGGGGCTGCTCACGGGTCGAAGTCCTATTTAGAACAGACGAACACCGATACTCCTCCTTCGAATTATTAGATTAATTTGATGTTAGTAGTTAGTAATCACACATTTGTGCATCTGTTCGTACAGGACAGATGTCCCGTACTAGAGTTGCAGGGGTTAGAAGTCTAATGCGATTTCATTTCCCTGTTAACTCTTGAAAGGCTAAAATTATAGCCTAAATACATATTATTTAACCCAGAAGACTGAATGTGATCAAGTACTACAGTCAAGTATGATTCAGGGACTGCAGTGAGATCAGTGACATTAGATATAACTTGAAGCTTGTTCAGGTAACTGGTCACTGATATATAAACACTGAGGCCCATGGAATACATCTTGATTAAATAATAAATGTATCAAAATCAGTCGTCAGATTTATTGGGGTTTAATTTAGTTAATTGATTCAGAGGATTGAATAGCCCATCATTAAAGTCAAGTATGGTTCTGAGACTGCAGTGGGTTCAGTGACATTGGTCGCAGTGACTTGTAGCTGTTTAGGCTACTGTTCACTGATTTGCCACTGAGGCCTCATGAACTCAGCTTCAGCTTTAAATGATGATATTAACATCAACCTCTGTTGCTATAGTCAGCTGTAATCTCCTTAGTATAATGCTACTGGAGAAATATAATCAGCTGACAAATTTAGATTTCTATTGGTATTGTTTATCTGCAGGCATAGGTCTCCTCAGGCTTAATACTGGGCCTGAGAGTAATTTGCCTCCTGCAGAATTTAGCATGGTTATGCCCTGATATTTAGTAGGGCTACCAATGAATCGATGGTAGTAGTCTGTCCCTACAAGGATACCGAAGTCGGTGAGGTGATCAGACTTAATATTATCTGCCAATTTTATTCCTCTATTTCTCAGGAATTTGGCTGTTGCTCTCAGACCTTGAACTTGTAGGTCTACTGGTATTTTGTCCACCACAATGGCTTGTACTTGACAGACGTACCTGCCTAAACGTACTGATGGTTGTACCACCTGGTAGACTTGAGGTCCTGCATCTGTTAGAAACCCTGAGATGTTGATTGTCGTCTGGGCTACAGGCTTTAATTGTAGTTCATCTGCCAACTTTTTAGTGACATATGTTCTCTGGGACCCTTGGTCAAACAACCCATGGGTATGGACCTTGGCCCTCTTATTCTGGATGGTAATTTGGGCAGTAGGCAAAGTCGTATTACCTTTAGACTTTGCCGATTGGACACTCTTTGTTTGTTGCACCTTGCAGTACTGTACTGTGGTGGGAATGCTATCTTCCACCTTGGGTCTTGAATACGTTAATTTCGTATGTTTGCACAGTGCTGCATGGTGCCTACCTCTTCTACACCTGTTGCAGGTGTTGAATTGGGTATCACAATAGTCTATGTTGTGTGACTTGAGACACCTTGAACATCTCCCTAATTCCTGGAGTCGCTTAATACGAGTGTCTCTGGTTGGATAATTAGCACAACAGTATGTTGAATGTTTCTTTTTGCAGAACATACATGTCCCCCAGCCTACTGCACGTTTGGAAGTTACCGGTTTGGGTGAACTAGTAACAGTAGGCTTGGAGGATTCTGCTGCATTGCCAGATTTTCTGCAACTTGATGTGAGTGTAA